TATCCTGACTACCCTCGTCTTAGGCGCGATTCCGCACCGAAACCGCTTTCCCGCTCGCAGTTAGGCGCTGTTACGGCCACACGCGATATACCGAAACATCGGGTCGCTTACTCGTCCAGTATCAAGGTGAGCTCTGATTGGGCGAAAGTCTGGACCTAACAGCCAATCATAATCCAGTATTCGCCGAATGTTGGTTGTCAATGCAGTTTCCAAACGGCGTCGAAAGTTCCAGGATGTTGTCGCCTCTATACTTCATATATGGCGTGCTGGATGTGTTTTTGACCTGGTTTTGAGTGTTTGATATAAATACGCCTTTGGTGGCTCCTTTGACGAGAGCCCCATCGTGGAAGGTTCAGACCGAGAACTAAGCTAAGGCATTGCCGTTATTATACCACGACTGAAGCTGGTCGAGGTGGTCCCTTCTTTTGGGATGTTCTTGATAAAATCAATCGATGTGTCACCTTATGTAGCAATCGAATTCCCTTTGAGTTGATTAGTTTATCCTTTCCAGGGAATTTGTCATGTCGATTTCGAATGGTTCTAATATGATTCTCCCACTATGGATTATAAACTAGGGTGCTGATCGAGGTCGAACTGTGACATTTTCCCACAAACGCTTATCCAGGGGAGTTCCTATCACATATTTCTTTGAAATATGCGCCTGGTTGCCCTGAATTCCGCCTGGTTGCCGTGAATTCCCTTACCACAGGAATATCGTCCACAGTACGTGTGCCCCGTTTGCTAGGAGTAATCCAGTGGTAGTATGATTGACTACCCCACCTCTGCAGGTGCCTACTATCTTACGGTATCCCACTGTGCAACACGTACAATGCAATTCGCAGCCGATAATGATAGTGGTGAAACCAGCTTGAACCGTTTACACTCCGTCATTTTTACGGAAACTGCTGCTACCCTTAAACTATCAGATACTGGACTTCAGATAACGATTATTAGGCGAAATTGACATCCCAGCTTCTTGTTTCCTCACTAAGTATTGTTCAGATTCCCTTATATCTGAGGAGGGTCGATTGCTTTTAGAAATAGCAAGCTGAAAACTTCTCAGGTTCCTCGATTCTTTTCGATGGATTAGATGTTTTGCCTATCATACCGGCGGACCACGGTACAAATGCCCGCTTAAGGAGTCCATATTCAAGTGATTTAGCTTCTTCAGGCTATTTATTTATCGGTTTAGTAAGTGAATGGTATCGGACTCTCGGGTTACACATAGGTTTCCTTGTATACCTTTCTGCCCGGTGCTAACCACAACTGACCCATTTGAACTGATCGCACTAATGAATCCACGGTATTTCTCACTGAATTGTCTCTCAGTGAATCTATTCTGTGGCTCTTCCTCATCAACTCATTTATCTCCTTTCCACCACCTGTTCTTATAGGCACGCGCATGACGTCTGTGAGACAGAGGGTTATGACCAACTGGTCAGACATCGTCCGCGCTTGTTGAACGAGTGCTTTCGCAGTCTTGCATCCCAGCAACTCCCCCTCCGGTGTTGGGCTCGAAAGCGCCCAAGGCAATCCTAATGAGCCCAGTTTCGAACTTTCAAACTAGTACACAAGATACATGTGTGCAGTCCATTTTCGTCTTGTCTCTCACCTCTCCCTCACGTGGTCCTCCCCAGACCCTCCCTCAGACTAGTTATGCTCCATATCGTTCCAATCTGCAGTTATTCCAGGTCCAGCTATGTTTTCTTCGCATGGGTTTTCATCACAATGTGCGCGATCACTGCTGCTTACCTGAGCCCATATGCGCACCATTCATTCTACTCTTTTTCTATACCAATTGCCGCATACCAAGTCACGCTGTACGTGCTTTCCTAGATGAGTCTACCAGTTCCTCTTTTTCTCCGTTCGTTGGTCTGTTTTTGTTAACTTGCTCGTTGCTCGATTCCTATGTTATTTTCGCTGCGTGCTCTTTCCACCCCCATCTTCTTGCATTTTTCTCTTACGCTGGATTGTTCTGCGTTATCCCACCCCGAGTCGTGTGGGAGTTTTTGCGTAGTGTTCTGTTGTGGCCTGAGACCACACACACACACACACACACACACTGATCATTCAACCAATGAGTTCCGGTTCTCTGTTTTTCTGCCCGTCGACACATAATGCAGTTTCTTTTTTTGTGCTTTCACGTGTTGATCTTGTTATGTACTGCTCGTCAGAAAAAAAGCTCCTGTTCCTCAGTGAAGCGGTCATAAATTTACGGAACTTTATGATTGCCTGTTCCGGAAATCTACCCTTGTTTCCACTAGACTTTGTGCTTTAGTCAGCTAATTCAGGATGAGCGCACTCCGGCGATATCGTCACCTGACAACTGTTGGTTGAGTGACGAATGGACTCGCAAAAGCAGTCGGGAATAGTGAATATAATACTACCTCCCTCCAGGGAATGCCTTCGGAAGATTCCGGAATGGCCTGGTCATAGGAGGATGTTTGTGATGAGAACCGTGTCGTACTTTGTCTGCGCTGGACAGTGAAATTTCACTTTTTGTCTGGATTCTTTAGAGATCGTAGATTTTTTGTTTCATCTAAGAATGACCTAGACTATCGAAGTATGAGCCTGTGTAATGCTCACCACTACTACTCAGCACTACTGTTTTTCGACCCAGTGAACGCGAGTGGGAACTATTGAATAGGACCATGTATCTAAAGGACTTATTCTTATACGACGAGGTAAGCAATTGCAATAATCATCGGAAACTTGATCAATATTGAGTTACCGTTGGTTCTTCGACCTTCAACGGTATTGCATCTGGGGATGTTTCGCCGAATGATGTTTTGTGCTTATTCAGGACTCGATTGCCGGACAACTCTGGTCTAGTCACGTTACAAAACGTTCAGCCGGTTTTCCAATCAGTCATACTCTAATCGATTTGGAGTGATAATCCACCGGTCGGTTTGAGTAAGCAACATTCTTGTGTTTCCTATAGAGGGGTAGTAAATCAACTAGTTGATGAAACAGAAAGTGCTCCGTTCTCTGTTCAGCACGGTTTGGTGCTTCAAGTGAGGATTTTCAGTTGAAGAAGTTCCGCATGTCTTTTATAAAACTGAATTACTGCACTAGACATGTTCAGTAACAAGAACTTGCAGCGCATGGGCCAAGGGGCGAGGTGGTTAAAAGAGGAAACTCGTTCGTAATTCATGAGCACCATGATTGTTGGGTGGAACTTCAGATAATATGAGAACTGAGCCGTTGTAAGTCAAGGTAAAGCCTTAGCACTACGCTGACAGTTAGTGGTTCTTTCTTACCAACCTCAGTTTTTTGTGCTGGGTGAGGTTACAGTGGTCGTTTGATCAGGTAAGATAAACGTCGTTTTGCAGGCGTCAGAATGTGCATTCTTGGTAAATAAAAAGAGACCAACCTGCCTCATCAGTACTAGTTACTTGTATTTGACGTGAAGAGTACTCGGTGAAAAGTGAACCAAACGTTTTTGGTGGATTCAGGCTTGTTCGCCGATTTTGACAATTAATTCGATGAACAGATCAACAGATCAGCTAATTATGAGCACATCCGGGATACTAATTTACAACACATTACCAGAAACACAATGTGGAGAATGACAATGATTACTTCACCGGTCGCTCAAAGGATCTGAACTTCAGGAGGCACGACCGCAAAGATCAAGGCTTTGTGTGATCCCTAAATCTCCGGGATTCAAAGTCGCTCGTGAATTTAGTCGATAAGAATCAACCATGGAGTTCTCTGTGCACGGTAAAGAAAGCTAATCCTCTATGTTGACCCCAAATTAGTTCTTTCGAGCAGTACAAAAGTTATCCGTAACTCGGGTTCCCATTGCAGTCTCCTTCCACCTGGGAAGAGATCACCTCGAGTTGGTCCTTTGAAGCGTATTCCAATATTACCCGAGGCGATCTCGTGTCAATTTCTTAGATGTAAGAAAGTGGCAGGCTAAAACTTAAGAAGAGAGCACTAACTTTACTAGTACTGAAAGAGCTGGTAGTTACCGGAAAATGAGGAAGAGCCCTAGAATGGGTACTAGCGATGTCCTTTGTAGCCTCAAATTTTTCTTACTTTGTTGTCCTAACCCGATTTTAACTAAATCAGACACGCGAAGGTGTCTGTGTAAATACGAACAATACGCATCGATAACTTGCGATAAGAGGAGCGAATGAACGGCCGAAGTTGGCGGACTTATCATTTAGAATGTCAGTCAACACAGAAAGAAGTGACGCAAGAGTAGAAATCAAACTGTCTTCATAGTGAGGTGGTACATGGGGTCGCTGTGTCGCTTACCTTATATTTGAAATGGTAAGTCAGATTGCCAATGTGTCGGTAATCCTCGTGCCTCAACGAAACCAGGGTCCCGGTTATCTAATCCATATATCGCATGTCTGGACGACTGTGAACGCGTATATACGGGTCCATCGAATGGGGACTCGTCGATGTCGGTCCCTAGTCGGACTTGTGGATGTGCCATGGGTAGGAAATCAATCTTTCTAGGCAGCTGAGTTCGGCGATCCAAAGTGCACAACGTATGAAGCCCAGACAGACCACCTGAGCTCGACCAAACAGTGTGCTGACAACTATCGACCGACAGCCAGGCCTGACGAAACGAACCACTCAATAGCTTTTGGAGAGACGATGATGGACAGCCAGCTATGCCCTCGACACTGGGCGAAAATCTTCCGTTCGACCTGCAAGTGGTCTCGAGAGCGTGGTTGGCCATTACTGTCAAACACAGTGAAGACGCGGAAAAAAATTTGGCTGAGAAGGCAAATTGTCTGTTAGTTTCACCGATTAGTGACAAGATTTCTGCAGTGTAATTTGTTAGATACCGCGAACTGCGAAGAGCCTAAAAACGAGGCGGTTTTCATCGCGCTGTTTTTAACGTGGACGTAATTATTTCTTGCACTGTTGGACGCAGAAAAAGGCAGTTAACTGGACAGAGGATATTACATGAATACCACAACGGCTTCTTTTACCTATCGACAAGTTATCGAGGTCTTTCAGAACTGCGACTCAACCGATTGCAGAGGGCAGTAACATAGAGTCTCGCCCACCTGTATTTTTATCAGAAAGGTCAGCTTCCTGAATGTAACCTCAAAATGCCCGGAACCTACTGCTCCACCAAAATCTCAACAGGGAAGCCGGCGAGCATCCAGGCTAGTCAATCATTCAGCAAAAGCCAATGCGTCCTAATGCACGCCACAGAAGCACAACCGAATGTGATCAGCGTTCAGGCATTT